CTAGTACCGAACTTGCACACGAAAATCACTCACTACGAAAGCAAAAGACTTGGCAGACGATGCAACATCCCCCCAATGAAAAGCAGGGGTGTCACTAGCACGTTAAGAGACCATACAATAAGTGTCAGGGGCCCGAGACTGTTCAACTGCCTCCCAGCACACATAAGGGGGATTACCAACAGACCCCTGGCAGTCTTCAAGCTGGCACTGGACAAGCACCTAAAGTCGGTTCCTGACCAGCCGGGCTGTGGCTCGTACGTTGGTTTGCGTGCAGCCAACAGTAACAGCCTGGTTGATCAGGCTCTAATCCACCAGGAGGCCTGGTCACAGGCCGGGCCGCGGGGGCGTTGACCCCCGGAACTCTCTCCAGGTAAACTCCAGGTAAACAGTAGTTACCACGTTAATGCTGTTTACAGCTAGTCCACGTGTTGTGTTGCTAGAAACACTGCTGCTTGGAAGGACCATATACGTGATGGAATGAACCCCAGGTGTTGTCTTAACGATGGCCTCTGTTCTCCTTGCACAGTCTTGTACGAAGAAGACTGGGAACTGATGCTTGGTAAATGCTTGCAGCATGTAGGCGCTCTCCTCCTCTAGAGGAACAAGACTGCAAATTTGGAAAGTTCACTAAAGAAATCTACTACCATTTCTCGTTTGTTACGCGTATCTTGATGTGAGTAATAGTAGTAGTAGTAGTAGTAGTAGTAGTAGTAGTAGTAGTAGTAGTTAGTAGTAGTATCGTATCAGATGGTCTTCGCTGACTGGATTACTCTATTGAAATATACAAAGAACACCCTGAAATATAGAACAAAAAACATTTTGTCTCAATTATAAAATGGGTTGACCTCTAGTGCAAATTTTGGGGGCCCACAGCCTCAGAAAAGTGGACAAAAAGGCTTCGAGGAAATATATTTGGATATCTTCCTGAAGCCGTTTGAATATTCCGGTGCTTTTACCACCCATGTTTTATAAGTGCACACATACATATATTAATTTTGTGACATAGTACACAAAGCTTTGGGTTGTCTTTCTTCTGCCTTATGTATTTGTTCCTTCATTATTTATTTATATATTTTTCCCCCTCTGTGTTCTTGCTGTTACCCTTGTGAGCACCTAGCTCCCTTGTGGGCACCTAGCTCCCTTGTGGGCACCTAGCTCTCTTGCAGTGCTCCTCTTTCTAGTATTTGACTGGTCCTCCTCCTCCTCCTCCTCCTTACTACCTCCCCCACTACTACTACTACTACCTTCTACCTCCACTACTACTACTACTACCACCTCCTGCCTATATATACCCCTCCTCTCGTTTTCATTAATGTCACTTTGTAAATGGTCCAAATCGGACCGAAGCGTCGATGTAAGCTCCTCTCTTCTATGTGCATCTTATTTTGTGTACAGATACACATGTGTTGGTCAAAAATTACACTATAAATATCTCGTCCAGCTCCTCAGAGCTGGGACGTGTACCCAGGCTACAGCAGACATTTCCCTCTGAACTGCGGCACTGAGACGCTGAAACAGAAAATTAACCGAAATGCTTTGTGTAATTTTCAGAGAGAGATTAATCTCTTAAACGTTCAATACTCTGATTAACATTAAAAAAACTAAGTAAATATCTAACATTAATTAAAAACTTGTCTAAATAAATACTTTAACACCAAATGATTATTTTTTTTTCCTGACACTCTTAATTATACACAATTTAGGATCAAGAACTTCCCTAGTTTAATTACAGTTTTATGAAAGTAATTACTACAGAGTCGTGCTAGACTCACAGTCTTATTAAAATTCGAAGTTCTGCAAATTGAAGTCTTGAATTTTTTTCAATTTTACGTATAAATTTCATATCGATAAGTTTTAAATTCACTGATAATCGAGAATAAAGTTGCTTCACGAACAGTGTGAAAAAAGTGAAGAGTAGAATATAATTTCCACTTATCTACGATAATTATTACTCATCTTCTTGCTCTTTTCTTCTTCTACTCAAGAAATGAGAGGTATTACAACCCAGGAGTCCAAATGGCCTGTTATCCGGGTGTAATGGGAGCAAAATAAACACAGCAGAAAAAGTTTAGAACTTATATTATCCTTCACCAATTTAGAACAGCATATGTACACTATGTACAGTGATAGGTATTAGTGCACTCCACGGTAAGCAAGGCAGAAATAGAAGCCACAAGATAGCAGACCGTGCTTCAACCAGCTCTAGAATGAGATAATGACAAGGGCAGACAGGAGAGTGGTACCCACATAACCTCTGCGATTGCCAAAACCACCATCTTATTGGCTAGAACCTGGTCACTAGTTGAACGACGGGGCCCCATCATCAACTCTTAGCAACCTGGTTCGCTGGTTGGGTGGGAGATAGCCTGTAAATGAGGGTGTGTACATGCGCCGAATAAAGGTTACGTACTCTTTGCATGCCACAAGAGGGGTAGCTCCAGTTCCTTTGATCAAGAGTCCTTCAGCGTATCCAGGGATATCTCCCGTAACACATGATTTTACGAAAAGAGAAACCAACCCATTTAGCAAATTAGCAGCACTAATAACCTCACGTTCAGGGATACTGAACCAGCAGGTGACCCTTAACATTCTCCTTTACCTGTGTATAGATTATTATTATTATTATATTATTATTATTATTATTATTTATTTATTATTATTATTATTATTATTATTATTATTTATTATTATTATTATATATTACCATTATTATATTTTAGAGGCAGCACTGAATTCGTAGGTGTCAGACAGTGCCCGGGGAAGGGAAGGTAATGAGCTTTGAATCAAGGAAGGGGACGCTTACGAAGGGTGAGCTCCACTTGTGATATCAAGCTCTCCTCGACAGCTTTAGTTACACCCTTCTTGAAGGCATCGGCGAATAATTATAAGAGATTACTAAATGCAAAAATAAAAAAACATCGCTACTTATTGTTTAAATAGATGGTAGAGAGAGAAAGAGAGAGAGAGACAGAGAGACAGGGGCTCTACAAAGTGTCTCGCTCTGTGTATAGTCTCTAACATACGAGTCACTACAGTGTTTACATCGAGAGTTACAAAGTTCACTGCCATCTATCAGCATTTAGAAACACTCATTCTGAAACAGCTGTCGGAACTTTCCAATACTTATTATAACTTACCAATACTTATTAAAACTTACCAATGCTTATTAAAACTCACCAATGCTTATTAAAACTCACTAATACTTATTAAAACTCACCAATACTTATAAAACTTACCAATACTTATTAAAACTCACCAATACTTATTAAAACTTACCAATGCTTATTAAAACTCACCAATGCTTATTAAAACTCACCAATACTTAATAAAACTTACCAGTTCTTGCTAAAACTCACCAAATACTTATTGAAACTTACCAATACATATAAAAAATGAAAATACCTATTAAAAGTAGGTAATACATATTTCTGTACACATAAACCCGTATTCCCACCTTCGCCCTCGCCACCTATAACGATTTGTACCTATTATCGTAAATTTTATTTTATGCTGAAGCGAGAGAGAGGGAGGGAAAGAGGGAGGAGGGAGGAAAAAGATGATGGTGTAGAGTGGATGTAATGGGAGATAAGAGAGGTAGAAGGGAAGGAAGAGGTGAACATACAGTAGGGAGTAAGAACGGGAGGGGAGAGAGAGAGAAGAAACTTAATATGAATAGAGAATAGAGATGAAATGGAGGAGTAATAGGTAGTAAGAGAGAGAGAGAGAGGGAGAGAGAGAGAGAGAGAGAGAGAAGAGAGAGAGACGAGAGAGAGAGAGAGAGAGAGAGAGAGAGAGAGAGAGAGAGAGAGAGGAGGAGAGAGAGAGAGAGAGAGAGAGAGAAGGAGGAGGAGGACTGAAACAATGAAAGGAGGAGAGAAAGAAATATTTAAAAAAAATTGTAAGAAGATAAAGAAAGAAGGAAAGTTTTAGTGTGTAAAAATGAAGTTTAAAATTAAATACATATATATATATATATATTATATATATATATATATATATATATTATATATATATATATATATATTATATATATTTAAATATATATCAAAGAGGGGAATGTATGAGAGTATAGTTTTACCAACGCTCTTATATGGGTGTGAAGCATGGGTGATGAATGTTGCAGCGAGGAGAAGGCTGGAGGCAGTGGAGATGTCATGTCTGAGGGCAATGTGTGGTGTGAATATAATGCAGAGAATTCGTAGTTTGGAAGTTAGGAGGAGGTGCGGGATTGCCAAAACTGTTGTCCAGAGGGCTGAGGAAGGGTTGTTGAGGTGGTTCAGACATGTGGAGAGAATGGAGCGAAACAGAATGACTTCAAGAGTGTATCAGTCTGTAGTGGAAGGAAGGCGGGGTAGGGGTCGGCCTAGGAAAGGTTGGAGGGAGGGGGTTAAAGGAGGTTTTGTGTGCGAGGGGCTTGGACTTCCAGCAGGCATGCGTGAGCGTGTTTGATAGGAGTGAATGGAGACAAATGGTTTTTAATACTTGACGTGCTGTTGGAGTGTGAGCCAAAGTAACATTTATGAAGGGATTCAGGGAAACCGGCAGGGCCGGACTTGAGTCCTGGAGATGGGAAGTACAGTGCCTGCACTCTGAAGGAGGGGGTGTTAATGTTGCAGTTTAAAAAACTGTAGTGTAAAGCACCCTTCTGGCAAGACAGTGATGGAGTGAATGATGGTGAAGTTTTTCTTTTTCGGGCCACCCTGCCTTGGTGGGATCGGCCAGTGTGATAATAAAAAAATAATAAATAATATATATATTTATAATTTTATATTATATATATTTATATATATATATATATATATATATTATATTATATTATATATATATATATATTATATATTATTATATATTATTTATTTATGTGTTTGTATGTATTTATTTAGAAGAGGTTAAAGAAAGTTGATGTTCCTTGAAACCAAACAAGAAATATTGTATAAGACATATTGATACATATTACTAGAGAGTTGATCATTGAAATATTATTGTGTTGTTCCCCACAGCGAGTCGTCTTCTGTCTGGTGCTGGTGGTCCACTGCAGTTCTCTGAGCCTCGTTACTGTCTGGTGTTGGCTGAGGATGCTCCTCCAGGTCTCAGAGTCACCCACGTCTCCGCTGCTCACAAGGATGGTCAGTACCTGGTATAAACCTTGGTAATAAATACCGACAAGTTGGTTTAGAAAGACACGTAAGGAAACACTATAACATATGGTCAGTACCTCACTAGTGTTCCTTTTCAAACTAGTCTCACTTCCCTGCAGTATAACTGAAACTCGTCAATCGCCTTCAACGATGATCAGTACCTCAACTTTGTCATCCTACAGCCAAATGATGTTAACTTCTCAAAGTAATTTCTTGCTCCTTTTACAGAAAAAAATCATAGCAATAAGATAATTATATACAATGATACCAAATAGTTAAGCCACAAGTATAACGGTTAAGTAACATTCTTTCGAAACGTTTCGCCTACACAGTAGGCTTCTTCAGTCATAAGCAGAAATTACAATAAAGTGAAGAGGCGTGTCTTATCTCAGCAGTCAACAGAGACAAGACGTGTGTCTAACAGCTAGTTATCTCTTCCTGTCGCTAATCGTGCATTCTCCTTTACGCTACAGTGAGAAAGTCCTCAGTGCGAGAAGCCTAGTGTGATAGGCACTCTAAAGTTCAGTGTGATAGAGACAACTGCCTTATTGCGGATGTTGTGGTCTTATGTGGAAGTGAGAGACTTTGTTGCTACCAGTGTTTTCTAACAGGTGTTGTGAACCGAGTCAAAAAGAGTCTTAGAGGCTGTTGAAGTTAAACTAATTAATGAAAATGTTTGTAGGGGGAGTGAGAATCAATTTGGGAGTTAAGAGTGTGGGAATGTATGTTGAGAGGGGTGGAGGCTTGAGTGTTCCAGTGTGTGGAGAGGGAGGGAGGCTTGAGTGGTCCAGTGTGTGGAGAGGGAGGGAGGCTTGAGTGGTCCAGTGTGTAGAGAGGGAGGGAGGCTTGAGTGGTCCAGTGTGTGGAGAGGGAGGGAGGCTTGAGTGGTTCCAGTGTGTGGAGAGGGAGGGAGGCTTGAGTGGTCCAGTGTGTGGATAGGGAGGGATGCTGAGTGGTCCAGTGTGTGGAGAGGGAGGGAGGCTTGAGTGGTCCAGTGTGTGGAGAGGGAGGGAGGCTTGAGTGGTCCAGTGTGTGGAGAGGGAGGAAGGCTTGAGTGGTCCAGTGTGTGGAGAGGGAGGGAGGCTTGAGTGGTCCAGTGTGTGGAGAGGGAGGGAGGCTGAGTGTCCAGTGTGTGGAGAGGGAGGGAGGCTTGAGTGGTCCAGTGTGTGGAGAGGGAGGGAGGCTTGAGTGGTCCAGTGTGTGGAGAGGGAGGGATGCTTGAGTGGTCCAGTATGTGGAGAGGGGTGGAGGCTTGAGTGTTCCAGTGTGTGGAGAGGAGGGAGGCTTGAGTGGTCCAGTGTGTGGAGAGGGAGGGAGGCTTGAGTGGTCCAGTGTGTAGAGAGGGAGGGAGGCTTGAGTGGTCCAGTGTGTGGAGAGGGAGGGAGGCTTGAGTGGTCCAGTGTGTGGAGAGGGAGGGAGGCTTGAGTGGTCCAGTGTGTGGATAGGGAGGGATGCTTGAGTGGTCCAGTGTGTGGAGAGGGAGGGAGGCTTGAGTGGTCCAGTGTGTGGAGAGGAGGGAGGCTTGAGTGGTCCAGTGTGTGGAGAGGGAGGAAGGCTTGAGTGGTCCAGTGTGTGGAGAGGAGGGAGGCTTGAGTGGTCCAGTGTGTGGAGAGGAGGAGGCTTGAGTGGTCCAGTGTGTGGAGAGGGAGGGAGGCTTGAGTGGTCCAGTGTGTGGAGAGGGAGGGAGGCTTGAGTGGTCCAGTGTGTGGAGAGGGAGGGATGCTTGAGTGGTGCCAGTATGTGGAGAGGGAGAGAGGCTTGAGTGGTCCAGTGTGTGGAGAGGGAGGGATGATTGAGTGGTAAGTGGTCCAGTGTGTGGAGAGGGAGGGATGCTTGAGTGGTCCAGTGTGTGGAGAGGGAGGGATGATTGAGTGGTCCAGTCTGCGGAGAGGGAGGGAGGCTTAAGTGGTCCAGTGTGTGGAGAGGGGTGGAAGCTTGAGTGGTCCAGTCTGTGGAGAGGGGTGGAAGCTTGAGTGGTCCAGTGTGTGGAGAGGGGTGGAAGCTTGAGTGGTCCAGTGTGTGGAGAGGGATGGAAGCTTGAGTGGTCCAGTGTGTGGGAGGGGTGGAAGCTTGAGTGGTCCAGTGTGTGGAGAGGGGTGGAAGCTTGAGTGGTCCAGTGTGTAGAGAGGGGTGGAAGCTTGAGTGGTCCAGTGTGTAGAGAGGGGTGGAAGCTTGAGTGGTCCAGTGTGTGGAGAGGGGTGGAAGCTTGAGTGGTCCAGTGTGTGGAGAGCGATGGAAGCTTGAGTGGTCCAGTGTGTAGAGAGGGGTGGAAGCTTGAGTGGTCCAGTGTGTAGAGATGGGTGGAAGCTTGAGTGGTCCAGTGTGTAGAGAGGGGTGGAAGCTTGAGTGGTCCAGTGTGTGGGAGGGGTGGAAGCTTGAGTGGTCCAGTGTGTAGAGAGGGGTGGAAGCTTGAGTGGTCCAGTGTGTGAGAGGGGTGGAAGCTTGAGTGGTCCAGTGTGTAGAGAGGGGTGGAAGCTTGAGTGGTCCAGTGTGTAGAGAGGGGTGGAAGCTTGAGTGGTCCAGTGTGTAGAGAGGGGTGGAAGCTTGAGTGGTCCAGTGTGTAGAGAGGGGTGGAAGCTTGAGTGGTCCAGTGTGTAGAGAGGGGTGGAAGCTTGAGTGGTCCAGTGTGTAGAGAGGGTGGAAGCTTGAGTGGTCCAGTGTGTTAGAGAGGGGTGGAAGCTTGAGTGGTCCAGTGTGTAGAGAGGGGGGAGGCTTGAGTGGTCCAGTGTGTGGAGAGGGAGGGATGCTTGAGTGGTCCAGTGTGTGGAGAGGGGAGGGAGGCTTGAGTGGTCCAGTGTGTGGAGAGGGAGGGAAGGCTTGAGTGGTCCAGTGTGTGGAGAGGGGGGAGAGCTTGAGTGGTCCAGTGTGTGGAGAGGGGGGAGGCTTGAGTGGTCCAGTGTGTGGAGAGGGAGGGATGCTTGAGTGGTCCAGTGTGTGGAGAGGGAGGGAGGCTTGAGTGGTCCAGTGTGTGGAGAGGGAGGGATGCTTGAGTGGTCCAGTGTGTGGAGAGGGAGGGAGGCTTGAGTGGTCCAGTGTGTGGAGAGGGAGGGAGGCTTGAGTGGTCCAGTGTGTGGAGAGGGGTGGAAGCTTGAGTGGTCCAGTGTGTAGAGAGGGGTGGAAGCTTGAGTGGGTCGTGTATGCGCCGACTACTCCGTTTTAATTGTGAAGTTTAGGTGTGATTGGTGTGTGAGGGGTTGACCTGTTGGTTGAGGGCCGTGGTAGGGAGTGCTTGGGGTTTAACGTCATACTGCCGGGTACATGTACAGTGTGCAGGGGGGGTATATATGTTGTACGGTTGCATGATCGCTGAGCATACAACATATCATCTACTCTATCTCTATCTAATCACTCAACTAACTACTACATATTATAATCCATCAACATTATACTTATATATATTATATACTACTTCTATTCTAATCTGACTAAATAATATATAACTATCTATCTCACTAATCATATAATAATCTATCAGCATCTACTCTAATATCTTCCATCAACTATCAAACAATATTAACAAATCATCACACATACACTATCACTACTACTCTATACTCAAACTCACTATATCACTCCACATATCACTACTCACTACTCCAACTACAATAATCATATCACATCTACCACTACATAAAAATACAATATCATATATTCAATCTACACATCACAAACACTACTCACATAACACAACTCACACTAATACACTAAATCTCATACTACACACAACACTACTACAACTATCCAAACTAATAACATACACTAAACAACCATCAACTCAAATCACAACATCACACATCACTCACATCACTCACAAACAACTCATCCTACTACACACAACACACTCACTACATAACAACATCATCAACACTCACAACACACACATCACAACACACATACACTCTCTACTCACCATAACATATACTACATCACACTACACAACAAAAACTCAAATCAAACAACAACTCGATAACTCATACACACTCCAGTCTCATCAATATACAAAACCATACAACTACTAAACATAATCTCACAATATCTCATACATAAATATACACTACATACATACTACACTAATTAAATCATCCATCATCATCCACAACATCACCTCCACTCATAAAACTCAAAACATCACTAATCAATACTCACAACATACACTCATAAAAATCACATCACACTCACAACTCACAACAACAACTCAACACACTAACACACTCACACACTCAAAAAATACATAAACACTCAAAACACCATAATCACACTCATCCATATCAAATATGCAATCACCACTACTCACCGCATACATAGATATATATATAGATATCTAGATTATATATATATTATATATATAATATATATAATATTATTATATATATCTATTTATAATATAATATATAATATTATATAATATAATATATACTATATATATTATATATTATATATCTCCTATTAATATATATATATAATACCCAACACACACAACAACCACACACACAAACACACACAACCACACACCCCACCACCACATCACACCACTACACCACCACACAACCCATCACACCTACACACTCCACACACACACCACACCCCCTCCCACAACATCCCCACACACCTCACCACAACCACCAACAACACACCACCAACACACCCCCACACACTTTAATACCACACACCCACAACCACACCCCTCCACACTCCCCACACCACACACCCAACACACACACACCAACAACACCCCCACACCACACACCCCACACCACCACACACCCCATCCCCCACCACACTCACACTCACACAACCACCACACACTCCACCACCCACACACACACCACACACAACACACACACACACACACACACCAAACACACACCACACACTCACACACCACACCACACACCACACACACACACCACACACCACACACACACCCACACACACACACACACACACACACACCACACACACACACACACACACACCACACCACACAC